CTTCCTCCTCTAAGTTTTCCTCCTCAGGTTTCTGGTCACAGTGATGAAAAGATGACTAGCACAGAACTCTGTGCTCTAACTTCTTCAACAAGTGTCGGGGATAGCCAAAGGGTGACATGCTGCGCATTCCTGACAGGGTAATCTTACTGAGCAGCGATTGAAAATATTTTCTTACTCAAACATGGAATAAAACATAAAATTCCTTTATAGTTTTAAGGCAACAAGAACCTCCAAAGAAATGCTGGACTTGCTCTGTGCCCAGATACACTGGGTATGGCCTACTCTCCTCTGCCTCACAGGGAACACTGGTGGGCGGAGCTGAGCGTGCTGGTGCATCCTCCTGAACATGCGGACTTCCCCTGGGTGTTTACCTCTGGAGTTCCTCAGTGGCTCAATGCAAACTGCCCAACTAGCCTGAGGGCCAGTGGGAGAAAGTCCAAAGTTCCCTCTGCTGACTTTTTTCTGACCTGTCCAACTGTCCTCTTTCAGGTGCTAGTGACCACAAGAAGGTCTTAGCCCTCTTGTCCTGAGAGTCACTGGGAAGGTGCAGTCACTAACAAAAGGGCTTTTCCCTAAGAAAACCCATGTCAATTTCACACCCAAGAGGCCACTAATGGAAAGCATCATTAAAGAATTTTGGGTGGTATCTTGGGAGTGTTTTTACTGAAAAAATCCAATATGCCCATCATAAATCTTTTCTGTGAAATCAACCCAGAGGTTACTCAAAAGCTTTCGAGCAACTGGAATTTACATCTACACACACAGTACAAGGGTCCTGGGATTCCAGAACACTATCAGTGCTGATGGCTATATTCTTAAACACTGATCTATCATTATCCTTCAAATTCCCCCTTTCTCCTTATCTAACTTAAATATGAGATAAGCTCAACACTCCTGGGCTTTGCTAAATTAGTTTAAATATTTCAAGTTCTGCCAGCTCCCATTTCTCCCTGCCTTTCTGAGTCTTGGCTTGAAAAGTGAAGAAATGTGACGGAGGAAACATCAGGGTCGGCTCCATAAATCTTCGTCCACCACTTTCCTAACCTGCCCTGCACCCCAAAGCCTGCAACACGGGGAGATATGAGCGTGCAGCAGGCGCCTCCTCCCAGGGCAGCGCTGCTTTCTGTGTGCAGTAGACAGCACGGTGAGCTATGACAGTCCTTCCCTTCAAGTGGATGAAGCAGTATTTTTTTTCATTTCATGGACATGACATTCCCTGGAGATGGACATGCTGACATTGCTACCAGCCGCTGCAGTCTCCTACCAAGCTCCTCTCCAACACCACCATCAGGTGCCACCACATTCACGCAGGGAACCGGGCACTTGCGTATCTGGGCGCCCTGCTGGGCCTGGCCTGGCAGCAGGCCTCTTCACCTGGCATCAAGGACGCCACAGCATGGCTGTCTCTGTGCCATTCTCACCAGCTTTGCTTGGAACAGACAAATGTGGCCCGATACACATGGACCAGAATATGCTACCTGAGCAGGCAGAGGAGAAAAGGGCCTTGGAAAGGGCCTCCTGTCTCAGTTCCAAGCCACACATACTTGTGCAGTTAACATACACAGTGGGGACAGTGGCCCATGATACCCACATGAGGCCAAAGGCCCCACTGTCCTCTGCCCTCCCCTTAACTTCCACCTGCCCTCCCAAGAACTGTGAGGCCGCGTGGAAACCTCGGGAGAGGTTGGGTGGTGCCCATACACTCCGACAGGGAGAGGAACTGGGAAATTCTTTAATCTCAAAGAACATGAGGAGGGGGTTCCTTATAAAGAAAACCATGTTCCAATAAACACAAAAAGGGGCCAGTGCTGCCTGTGAGGCCACTACACCCAGATGGATCCCTGGGAGGAGTTCCCCCAGCGTCATGGCTGACTTTCCCATCCTCTGCTGAAGATCTGGGCCACTTAAAGCACATATGCTAAGATCCAAGCCTTCACTCGGATGAGCTGGACAAAGAAGCAGAAAGTCTCTTCCCTCAGAGAGGGAAGAACTCCCGGACTCTCGGTTCTGTTCCTGGCATGGTCCCTGGGCTCAGGTCAGCCCTCGGTCAGAATCTCACTTCTAATCCCTTCAAATCATTTGTTAGTCCCTGTTGTCCAAACAGTGTGTGTGTGTGTGTGTGTGTGTGTGAGACTCTGAGTAACACTTCTGGAGCCTGTTCAATCAAGCAGGAGGCTGGAGGGGATTAGACCTCACTTCCAGGAAGCCTGAAAAAGCTCCCTTGGGGAGAACCAGTGTGTCCTAGGAGAGGACAGCAACACAAATGGGAACATTCTCCACCTGCAGGGAGCCCTGGCTCCTTTAATACAATCTGAAAAGAATATTTTCCACATGAAAATAATTCTGGTTGGGCTTCAAACTCCTGAGAGGTACAACAAATAGACAGGTATATTTATCTCCAATTTATACATGAAAAAATTAAGGCTTAGTGAGGCCAAGAGATGTGACCAAGGGCCCAGATCTAATAAGCAAGGGGCTTGGGACTCTGACGCATTGTTTTCAGGTCAAATTCTCTCTCTCTCTCTAACACATGGCTCCTCATTAATGACCTGGACTTGGACAAACGGACTGAGGAACCTGGTGAAAGGGCTGTTGCTCATCTCTTCAGAAGAATCTGGAATGCTTTCTTGGGGCAATAAAGGACACTGTGAGCCACTTAGGCCCCCATTAGCATGGGTGGCATGTGCCCCACCCCGTCCAGCAATGTGCACCATGGTTTTCCCACTCACTGACACCTGCAGGAGTTGAGAGGACAGGTGGGGCCTGGGTCTCAATCTGGCTCTTCCGCCTCCAGCTGTGTGGCTGTGGATAGGCCTCGGTCCCCCGGGAGTGTCTTGTTCTCATTTATAAGTGAAGAACAGAGACTGGCCGTGGCAAGGACTGGCGCTTGGTCAGCGAGAAGTTCCTTCTTTTGGTGCCCACATGGTTCCCTTGTACCTGGGATGTCATTTCCTCTCTTACCTGGTCACCCCCCTTAGACCAACCCCCAGGAAGGCTCCCCTGCCTGTGGGTCAGTCACCCTCTTCCTCCCTTGCACTTTCTCTAGTCAGCCGTCTCTCTCTACCCTCTAATCATAGGTGTCATTTATCACAACTTTGGCAAATAATTATTTATACAGCTTTTTATGTAGGCTGCTCTGACTGAGCACAAGCTCTCTGAGGCTGGGGACGGTCTTGTTTCCTGCTATATTCCCAGTCCAGAGTTCATGGGAGATTTTCAATCAATATTTACTGCCTGGAAATGTCAAAAGACAGATATTCACTGGCTGGCACTAAGTCAGACCTTCTGTGGCAATGCTGGATGACTGGTACAGATGACAAGAAGACCTTTTTTTCTGCAGTAGCCATGGCTACATTACTTGTGCCCCTAAAAAGAGTACAATAGCTCATGGAGACAGCCAAACTAACAACGAACAAAATCCAAGTGCACTGACCTCAACAGGACAAAAGAAATCTATTAAAATTTTAACACATGTACTCCAGATCTTTTCTGAACAAATAAGTCATTCCTTTGACTGCTGGGATTTTAAGAACAAGATGGTTCTCTGGGAATTCTTCAGTTTTGTTTATACTTCCTTAGGTCTCGTTGTCTTAACAAAATTTTGGAGGTAGATTCTTGGGCTTTGAGAAGAAACAAAAAACTAACTGAAGATAATTTTGAAGGCTCCACCCTTCCACAAGTACATAAATGCCTCAAAATACTCTCAAGGATTGTTTTAGCTTTGTATCCGAGAATAGAATGTAACTTAACTAAAGCAAACTCAACAGACCCCTTTTGAAAAGGCAGCTGCTGGGCTGTGGATGTAGCTCGGTGATAGAGCCCCTGTCTAGCACATGTGAGGTGCTGGGTTCGATCCTCAGCACCATATAAAAATAAATAAATAAAATAAAGTTACTGAGCCCATTCATAACTAAAAAAAAAAAAAAGGAAGGAAAGAAAAAATGTTGCTGACCTTAAAAATAGTAACAATCAATCAATCAATCAATAAAAGGCAGCTGCTTCCAGACAGAAGACCTTCTGGCAGGACATGTTGCACGGTCCCTGCCTATAGGGTCAAACAACTTGCCCACTGCAGCAATGTGTCACTGGTAAGGACTGTTGGTGGCAGACAAATGGATTCATTTTAATTTGGGACAACTTCACCTCAAATCCTACTTAAGGGAGAGACAGGGTGTGGACAGGGCCCAGGCCCGGGTGTTCTCAAGAGAGCACACTAACTCACTCGGGAACATCCATTATCCAGGCAGCAACAAAATTCTTCTGGGCTTAAGCTGAGTCCAGCTTGGCTGGGAATGATGACACTATACCCTCGTTGATAAGGATTCCCAATTAGTCACTCTGGCAAGAGAAGCTAAAACAGGCCACTGAAACGAAGAGCTAGTTAAGTGACTGGGTTCTGGGGGCTGTGGAGCCACACAGGCCAGCTCTGATTTCCAGGCTCGGCTGGTATCGGGACAAGACAGCTTCCCACAGCAGAACTGCCAACTTGCTGGGGGTGGGGAAGGCTGGCTGGGATCAGCTCTGTTTTTTGAAGGAGTCTGGGAGACTGGCTAGTGCTTTCAAGTGAAAGGAAAACTAAGGAAGAGCAATCCATGTAGTCAGCAGCAACTTGATGGATTCTGGAACTAGGCCGTGGGCAGGGGGCAAGGATCCACCAGCCTATGACCTTAGGGTTTTCTTCATGGGCACATGGGGGTCCATTTAGCTTGGTGACTGGGGAAGTCTGTAATGATATAATCCTATTTCTGATTGTCTAATGAAGAATCCAACACAGGATAACACATGCCTACCTACCTACCTATCTCTGGAAAAAATCCATGCCAAATTTTTGGGCCCCTTTTCATGTATTTGTATTAGGAAGGTCAGAAATTTCAGTTACAAGTATTCAAATTAAAACCACACAACAAAGGCAGAAGTGTGTGATCACATGTTTGTGTGGATCAGGAGACGCAGCAAACCGGGACTGGAAATCGCACATCCCCTTCCCCGTGACCACTGACCTGGGGCCACTGAGTGTGGCTGTGTCTCTCACCGCCTGGGCTGTTTCAGATGCAAAATCCAGGGCGCCTGCCACTGGCTTGGTCACAGTGCCAACAAGCCCTTTCCCGAGGCCAGAAATGAAACCGCTGACGCCCCCTTCTGTTTTCACACCTTCCACCGTGGAGGTTATGACACTGGTCAGGCCTCCAATGATACCTAGCAAAAGAGACAAGGGCTACTGTAACCTGGCCAAGGACAACAGCAACAGCATTTAAAGCTAAACTCCTCAGTTCCTTGCACTGGGAATGATACTCTAAGGGCATTCTGTTAATCTCTGTGTCAGACAGGCCAGAGGCAGGGAGCCCAGTGGATCCGCCCCTTAGGTCCAGTGTTAGAGGGCACACATTACGTGCTGGTCAGAAGTAAAGTGTATTTCAGTTTTAAGAATTCAAAAAAAAAAAGCTGGGAGGTTAACAGTGGCCACTTTTCAATCCTGGAGCTTGCACAGCACAGAGGCAATTCTGAGAAGATGTAGAGTAGGACTGAATCCTTGGGAGACTAGAAATGGTGTCCTTGGGGAAAGGTTGAAGAAGTTGGGATCCCATGAAATGTAAGGCAGAGGGACAGCAAAAGACACATGTTCTGTTTTCCAAGAATACTCCATGACCAGCAAATACCATCAAATGTTTGCAATGGGGTAAAAGCTACTCCATACTTTGTTGAGATCAGACATAGGCAGTTGTAGTAAATGATGAAGCCTTCATGAGGGGCGCCCCCAAAAGCTGCCAAATCTAGCCAGAACTCTCCCAGTGGTTGCTTCAAAAGACCAACCTAGGTCAAAAAGACATTGCAAATAATTTGCAAGTTGACAGCAATGACTGAAACAGCCTCAGTAGGGACCAGAAACTGGCAAAGGCTGCAGAGGTCACAGGCACTGCAGGGAAGACAGGCGGTGTGCGGGGAGCATTTCTAGGACTTGTGCCAGGGACACTCACAGGATGTTTACCCTCTGACAAGCGGGGGTGTGAGGGTGCTCTCTGGACTCTTCAGCTCTAGTGAGACAGATTGGTACAGGAAACTCCTTGGGTGAGAAAGCACTAACATTCACAGTGTTTCTTCTGGATCTGGGTCCATTGCTCTAGGGAGGCAGTAGCCCCTTCCCAACCTTTTGAGCAAAGTTCTTGGCAGAGAGCATGCAGTGCAGGAGTTCAGACCAGGCCCGTGCGACAAATACCAACAAACCAGGGGCATGCACACCTCCCAGTTTTACATGAGGGAGGCTGAGTAGCTCTGGTTCTTGTTATCTTTGAAAGCTCTTTTCTTCCTGAAGGAAGAATCTCATTGAAGGCCACTGTTGTTACATAACTCAAAGCTCAAAGGGTCCCTTTTGGATGAGGCCACAGGTTCCAGCCCTAGGCTGGCCTAAGTGGCTCGTGGAGAGGCTGTGGATATCATCTGTATAATCCTGGCTGGAGGTGATTTTGTGACCTTAAGCAAATCACTTATGTTCTCAGCACAGAAATGTATTCATCTAAAAAGTGAGGGCACACATGCCCTCCCCATCCAGCAAAGATGTTGCAAAGATAATGGTAATCAGACACAATGAATTTTATATTTTTTTAAATAGCCCTCAATTGTCACTGCACGGACATTACATTTAATATAGAATGACTAAATCTTAACCGTAAATGATTACTCAAAATCAACTTTAGTCTGTAAACAGATCAATTTCTGCCAAATTGTACTTCTGTCCTGAAGCCTCCCCGGGAGCTGCTCTCTTTACAGCCGAGCAATCTCAGCAAGACCAAAGGCATTTTGACCCAAAGCTCGCCAATGGGAAAGCTGATGAATAAACTCTGCAATAAACACGATGTCCTGAGCATAAACAGAACACAACTTTTATTATCTATATTCCCTCTTCTTTCTCCAAATGCAGACAGGCATGACTGATCTCAGTCTTGATGCAACTTTGATAGTTTGAGGTGATGCCTGAGGATCTGTGTGGACAGTTCAATCACCACCATGACTGAGCAGGAGCTGTGTGAGCCTCAGGCGAGGCGGGCTCAGCTCTCAGTGCTCACTGCCCAGCAGAGCGTGCCACACACACAGCTGGCCACACATCTACCTGACCCACACTGCCAATGTGCAGCCTCACGGTTCTCACTGGGGAGGGGAGTGGGGAAATGTCACCTGCATCGGACTCACAGGGTGAGGACGATTTTCACAGGCAAGGAAGTGTGGCAGAGGCAGGGTGGGCAGCAGGACTGAGCGAGCAAGGACCTGGAGCACATCTGGGGAGCCACGCTTAGCTGTGTGTGACTAGGACAGTGGTGGAGAAAAATGCAACAAAAGGCAAACTAGTTGGACAAAAGTTGGAATCAGAGCATTAAAATCTGGAACTCAGCCAGGCACGGAGGCACACGCCTGTAATCTCAGCAGCTTAGGAGGCTGAGGCAGGCGGATCATTAGTTCAAAGCCAGCCTCAGCAACAGCAAGGGGCCAAGCAACTAAGTGAAACCCTGTCTCTAAATAAAACACAAAATAGGGCTGGGATGTGGCTCTGTGGTCAAGTGCCCTGGGTTCAATCCTCGGTACCACCCACCAAAAAAAAAAAGCTGGAATTCAAATTCAGAGAGACAACTTTATGCCATCACCTACATCCTGTGGACAGTGACTCTGTGGTCCTGTGAACGTGCTTCCACGTGGGCCACACACTGGGCAGTCAACTTCGCTTTCACTGTCAGTGGGCTAAAGGCAGTCCTGCGTGGCCATTCTGGATTCTAAGGGGTGTGGGAGAGCATGTCCGATGACACCTCAGGAACAGAAAAGTGCATAGTGCCCTGGAGACGAACAGCACGTCTCACCAGCTGCCACATTTCCACTACGAGGTGGCCTTCAGGCATACAATGGGACCAAGCCAGCGGTGCCAGGACTTCTGCCACCTCAGCTTTCTTTTCTCTCTAAGCATTTGGCAGTGCAAGGGCACTTGTGAGGGAGGGACAGTGGCAGGTGACTTACCATGAGCCAGGCCGTGGATGCCGGCGACCAGGTGCTCCCCACTTGTGGCGGCGTGGTACCGGATGTACTCCCTCTCTGACTGATGCCGATTGTCCATCGTCTTCCCCAAGCCGTCTGATAATGTCCCTGCAAACTGGAATGGATTAGAAACAAGAAGAGTTTTAAAGTCTTGGAATTACTTTTATTATTTTAAATAAATACCTTCCCTTGCTCCTAGTTAGGATTTAGTAAATGCTAATTACAGAGAGGAATTAATTGCTGAATTAGGAATTCCTGTCTGCCCTGGCAGAGTGGTTCTCAAACGCTGGACAGATACAAGCTGAGGGTGGCTCACACTGGGGGAAACAAGGTTGCAAAGCCATTATTGAAAGGCCTGATGACATCTACTCTCCGCAGCAAAGATGGAGCGTCTCTAATCCAAACATTTGAAATCCAAAATGTTCTAAAACATGAAACCTGAACCCTGCTGAGGTAGCACTCCACATCTGACATCATGTTGAGGGTGGAGTCAGAACACAGGTGCTCCAAAAACACTGTACAAAGTTACCTTCTGGTGATGTGCATAAGGGGTACATGAAACATAAATGGATTTCATGGTTAGACTTGGGTCCCATCCCCAGGATCTTATTCACATGCAAATACTCCAAATCCAAATCTGGAAAAAACCCAAATCAAAAGACTTCTGGGGTTGTAGCTCAGTGGTGAAGCGCTTGCCTAGAATGTGTGAGGCACAGGGTTCTATCATCAGCACCACATAAAATAAATAACTAAATAAAATAAAGGTACCGTATTTTTAAAAAAATATTTATTTATTTAGTTGTAGTTGGACACAATATCTTTATTTTATTTATTTTTATGTGATGCTGAGGATCGAACCCAGGGCCTTGCACGTGCTAGGTGAGTGCTCTACCGCTGAGCTATGATCCCAGCCCAAAGGTACTGTATTGTGTCTATCAACAACTTTAAAAAAAGGGGGCTGGGATTGTGGCTCAGCAGTAGAGCGCTCGCCTAGCAAACGCGGGGCCCTGGGTTCGATCCTCAGCACCACATAAAAATAAATAAATAAAACAGGGTATTGTGTCTGACCACAATTAAAAAAATAAATATTAAAAAAAAAAAAAGACTTTTGGTCCCAAGCAATTTATATAAGGAATAGCCAATCTGTGCTACTACAAATTTACTGGGGGAAAACATACGATGGTATAACAAAATGACCTGCAGGGAGAAGAGTAAGAATTGGGATCTTACCACAATGAGACACAAGCCCTTTACTTTAACAACTGATTGGAATCAAAACAGGAAATATGTCAGATTATTGCTTTAGGGTCTAGTATCAAAAAAAAATTTTAAGGGGTGGCTAAGCACGTACCTCAGTGGTAGAGTTCTCACCTAGCATATGTGAGGCCCTAGGTTCAATCCCAAGCACCACAAAAATAAATACGATAAAATTTAAAAATGAGAGAGATCAATCTCCCTCAATTGATGCCTTCTCATCGACAACTCCCCAGTTCCTACTGGATGCCAAGCCTCATCTGTCAAAAGTCAAAAGGAAGCAGTTGGGAAGATTAACAGGTGAGTCCCCTTTCACAGGAGCAGTGGACTCGAACTTACAGCTTCCAGGGAAACCATCCTCCCCCACAGCCAGAGGATTTTATTTATCCTGGCATACTTTAACCAGAGAAGCTGTCTCATCCATCAAAGCTAGATAAAAAGGACATAACACTCTGTTTTGTCACAAGGCAATTTGAAAAGGTTTAAAGTGACAGTTAATAAACCACAGGGTACTTATCCTCATCATTCAGGCATAAAAAGAGAAGGATATCAAATATATAATTAACCTTCTCAGGAAGAATCTACCAAAACAAGAGGTTTAAGTGCCAATGACCCAGGACTAACCTTTCAGAAAACTCACAGGAATGTTATTTAGATACACAGCTCATGGAAGACTCAGGACAAGCGGCCTGCCTGGGGGACCCGTATCCTGGGCCCATGTGGACCCATTTGTTCCGATCTGGGGAGGGGTGGTGCCCAGCACAGAGCAGTCAGCTCTGAGGCTTCCTGACATTAGTGACAGAAAGCTGTGCTTAGCAGAGGCTCCTGCAGCGAGCCAGGGGACACCCAATCCTTCACTCAGCCTGAACTCCATTTCCATCGAGGGCAGTGATCACTGACCTCTCTGGAAATCCAAGCCCTACCATTCGTTATTTGTTTGCCTTTCCTTTTCCCTCACTGTCTAACTAAAGTTAATGAAAATCAACCTTAAAATTTCTTCAGGACAGTGAAGGTGCCAGGAGATGTTGCGAAGGCAGCGCTGTGGATCGCTACATCAGGGCTTTAGTTAGAGACCCCTGCTGAGTGCCGCTGACTGGCTCCTGGGTATTCTCTGTACTGACCCAGGAGGATGGGGGTAAGATGACCTGTGAGAGCATTCTTCCTTCGTAAAGCTCATTTTTTCCACCTGCTTCTTAAGTACCTCACTTTAATTTTTATTTTTTTTGGAGACAGGGTCTTACTACTTCAGCCTCCTGAGAAAGTAGGGTTATGGCCCGTACTGGTGCCTGGCCAGTGCATCACCTTTCTGTGGAAAGGTGCCTACACCTAAGTCAACTTACCGGGGACTTCTGTCTGAATCCCCACCTCTCTATCTATAAGAATATTACCTGTGAAGCCAACTACATTTGTCCTTTGTTACTTATGAGTAAAAAGTAAAGCATTCAGAGATATTAGCAGGCAACTATTATAAAAGTCTTCTCCCTTGGAGATGTAGGTTTGAGAACTATGATTCAACCAAAACCATACTGATAGGAGGTGAATTCGACCTGACAAGGAGAGACATTTTTCAGGAACCAAACCAAAGCCAGAGAGATGACAGGTGCAGGGCCCAAAGCAGGGCCTTGATCCAGAGTATTGGACCCAGGCCACCACAAGAAAGGGCCTCCTTTTACTGCAGGGTACTTACTTAGTCATCCTTAATTCCACATTTATCCTACCTCAGAGGGCAGTGAGACCACACCCTCCCTGTGGCTCCCTCCTAAGCACATGCAGGAGGCAGAGGGAGGGGTTCCAGTAGCACCCATGTGGGTGAGGCTGAGAAGCATTATTTCTCCCACATCAAACAGGAGCCACGGGGTCTTGCAGGGAGTGTTCCCATCAATCCAGGACATCCTTTACCCCATCCCCCAAATTGTCTTGTGACAAATGAAGCCCAGAGGCAGATATTCAGATTATTCAGTGGAGAAAGGAATCCAGAGGTCCTGGTGGAGAGGCTGAACCCTCAGGGTGTGCTTAGGTACAAGCCCGCTGTGTAGCCAGTCCACAGACCAGCAGTGTACAGAGCCCCCACTGCACATAGGCCACAGACTCGCAATGAGAAATCAGAAGTGGCCTTGCCACCTGCCCTCAAACCCAGAGGAAGGTACATGGTGTTGCAGAAAGAGAATCACACCTGAATTTGAATTCTGACTATGACACTTAATAGCTGTTAGCTTCCATTTCCTTGTCTTCAAAACAGGAATCAAAATGTTGCCTTCAAGGATGCCGCAGAGCTGGATAATGTGTGTAAAGCCCTCCGCACAGACAATATGTAACAGACATTCAATAAAGCGGCACCAAGTTGCCTGAACCTCTGCAAAACAGGATAACTGGACTCTGCAGGGCTGGGGTGGCGCCTGGCCTGGGCTCCTCCAGGGGTGGAAGCTGTCTGCCTGCAGAGGGGCCAAAGGCACCGGGGCAAGGAGTGTGCACTTACGCAGGATGGGAAAGTGACTGGCAGCTGGGAGGTGATTTATAGATAATCTGTCACCTGCTGGCCATAAACAGTACCTGTATCCCAGAAGGGCATTTGTAGAGGGTTAAATTAATCAAATTCACTTTGTAACAAGTTCAAGTTCACAAAATACTTTAGGCCTGGCGTGAACATTGTACTAGCCAAGATGAAAGGCTCCAAGGAACAGAATGTCCTTCAGAAAGCTTGCCACTGCTCTTGCAAAGACCACGACTCCCCCTTCTTTTGCTGAAGGAAGCATCCATACTTGCTGCCCTTAGGAATTCTGGCCACAGTCCAAAGTCATTCATTTCTATAAGGCACTATTTTCAGCAAGAGGGTAAAGACCTCAGAAGTACTTGAAGAGGCCAGTTCTCCTGAATAGCTGAAACACTGTGGGTCAACACCCAACCTTCCCAAAACAATCCCATTATCCATTCAAAGAGAGACACTGCAAATTAGCCTGGGTTTGGGGCCTGGCTCTGAACAGTTGGTATTATAAAACCAAAATTCAAGTAGATGCTGGAATGGTGTAAGGAAAAAAAAAAAAATCACACTGTGTCCTGTTCTGTCCTGTCCTGTCCGTCTTCCTGACCCTTTTATGCTACTCAGCAAGCACAGAATGCCAATGGTACTTGGCCAGTGTAACAGGAACTGAGCTGGAGCCTTTCCCCTTCTCCTGGGTTCTTCTTTCACAGTTATTTACTTAATGGAAATTTCCTCTTTAATATCGTTGCCCCACTGAGTAAATGCTGGTGACAGTATCTTCCTTGTCACCAGAGCAGATGGTGAGCATGTATCACAGGAAAAGAGAAGTGACAGGACTCTAGCACAAGGGACAAGTCTTATATTTGTCCAAGTGCAAAGCTGAACAGCTGCAAGTCAGCTACCAGCACAGCTCTGATTCCATCGGCCCGGCCAGTGAGAAGCCTCACTGGAGCACGGACCACCAGAAAACTCACACATGCCATGCCTGTCAGTCAAGCTGCCGGGATGGCACTGAACAGGCAGGAGCCTGCTGACTGGGCGTCCTGGTGAGAGCCACAACTTGCTTGAACCTCAGTTTATCATTTGCAAAATGCTTTCTCCTCCAGCAGGCTGCTTTGGAAGGTTCAGGAGGTAATGAAGGCAGAATGCCTGGCATGCTGTCTGGCCATCCATTTCTACAAGTTCCTCAGCGGCAGTTTGGGACCTTAGACATAAGCATTATTTTCAAATTCGCAGGTAGTGAGCAAGAAAACCTGAATCATAAGACCTAAGTCGCTTCAAAACCAAGGTCTTCACCATTTCTGTTTTTTTTTCCCCTTCTGTTGATACAATTAAAATATCCGCAATTAAAAATTATTCCAACTGTACATTTTGTCTTAATA